GATCCTGAAAGAAAAACAGCTCAAATATATGTGCATGTTGAATAAAAACTAATGAAAAATATCTTCAGTCTTTTAATTCAGACAACAAATGTCACCAATAACTTTTTGTCAGTTTTAAATTCTCACCTTCCATCATCAGGTTGATTAAAAGCAAGAGGAGGCTCCATGGACAGATCACTCTTCATGGACACACAGCTGGGTTCAGGCCCAGGGAGATAAAGACAAAAACAGATAAAGTAAAAGGTCAATAAAGTAATATCTGGATGCGAACAGTAAATCCGATGACTCCCTGTAGTGGTAAAGGTCACTGTACACTGCGGGAGTGCCTTGGAGTAAGGGAACTGCATTAGGATTGGGATCCCAAGGGACCCAACACAAATCTTGTAGGATTTGCTGCAGGTGAGAGCTGCTCAGTGTCTGCTTGTATCAGACTGGTTGTACTGGGCAGCTCCCAGATTGTCAAGCAGGTGAATACGAGGCAACAAGATCCAAATGCAGACAAGTGGGCACACATCAACAGTTCAGTGAATTATAATATATATATATAGCTATAGTGTATACATAATAAATGTTTGACTTGATTTGACTTGACTTGACTAGCATAACCCCATTTTTACTGTCAATTACAGCTTACATCTGATCAGTAGATGGAGGTTGTCCTTTAAATTCAATGAAATGTTGCTTCGACTGGTCACTCTTGAAGAACAGACAACTGGGTTCAGGAGAGTATGATCTCTGCTGCTGGATACTAAAAGAAAAATATTTCAAATATATGTGCATGCTGGTTAAAAACTAATGAAAGATATCTTCAATCTTTTAACACAGACAACAAATCAGTTTTAAATTCTCACCTTCTGTCAGCAGATTGTCTAAAAGCAAGAGGAGGCTCCATGGACAGATCACTCTTCATAGACACACAGCTGGGTTCAGGCCCAGGTTCAGATCCAGATCCAGGTCCAGGTCCAGGTCCAGCAGAGTCTGCTGTGTTCTGCTGCTCTGGACTTCAACAAAACACACACGTAGTTCTGAGTGTGAATAATGATGGTGTGTGGGGTGATTGGAGCTTTGACATGGAGAAGAGTCATGGACAGTTAAGCCCCTCTCACACTGGACAAAAAAACGCACTAACATCTGGGTATTAGAGATCCTCTTCTCACCTCTGAGTTTTGGTCCTTTTAGAGGGAGGGACTCTCGCCTCTCTGTCCTCCCACTGATCCATAGCAGAGCCCACACAAACACAAAAACCTGTTGGGAGAGCTCAAACATTATATCCCATTATTCCTCATCATCATTTAACCTCCGTGCTGTGGCTGGAAGCATTATGTTCTTGGGTTGTCCATCCATCCGATCCTTGTGAATGCCATATCTATGGGCTATTATAGCCATAATTTTAGAATGAATTGGCCGATTCCTGATTTCACACACACTTTTCATGTTGACTGGAACAACATGAAGAGTAAACAATAAGTAGGACAGTACAGGCTTTCGTCTTTCCATCTCATCCATTCTGCCATTCCCTTACTCCCTCTTCACTGAATTTCAAGTGTTCGAGGAATCAAGTGACTGCATGTACTGGATTATTATCATCATCCTGTGTGTGTGAGTTTCACCTACAGTTCATAAGGTATAAAAATGGCATTTTGTGAAGCTATACTCTATAAGATCATGTGTAATGTATATTCACTGGAATCATATATACTGTATGTAACATCAATGTAGTGATAACTTCCATTTAGCCCAATAAATTGCACTTTATACCTTGTATTAAATCCCTTACAAGTATTCATTACATACGTTATTAGTCTAAACAGCAACTTGATAAGCAGAGGCATATGATCTCAGGGCAGTTATTCTAGTTCTTTCTTTGGGATTGATATCACTATTCACTTCTATTTTACTGACTTTGAAAGTTCTTCAACATTTAAAATGTTGCTCTTTTTCCAAGTCTACTATATCACGCTTCATCATGCTATAACTGCTTCTCTCTGTTTCATATCAGTGTTGTAAAATGCTGAAGTTGTTCTAAAGAGAACTTGTTGCTTAGAGTTACATTTCATAGTTTCATGTCTCTGAGGGAACATGTTGAACTTGATTTGTCTTGCGTTTTCCAGCAGAGATCCTAACACACTGAGTCTTTCCTAAACGTAGCACTGGAAGATGACACATACTTCACTGAAGTAAAACTACAAATACAACAAAGTAATTATTTTATCATAAAGTGGAATAAGGGACCAGGAGGAGATCAGAAATGTAACTGGGGCCAAGGCAATGCAGTGCCTTATATGTAATCAGCAGGATATTTTAGTTGATTGTGAATTTTACAGGAAGCCAATAGACGGATGAAGAACAGGGTTAATGTGGGGCCGACAGTTAGTTCTTCTTTCACATAATTGTGTGTGTGTATTTGTGTGTATGTGTGTGAGAGACCTTGGCAGACAACTCTCAGCATTGCCTATACATATATATATTTTTTTTATTATTCGGCGCACTAGATATAACTTTAACATTATTATGATTAATGATCATCAGGCTGTTTGGGTGCCCACACTCGCGTGTAAATATAAAAAAATGCAAAAACGTACCGCTGATTCTCCGTCAAGGACTCTCCACACCTGTAACTGTGAATCCTACTGTCTTTCTTGCCAATACACTCCAGCATCCAGGCGGTAGGACTGGTGTATAGAAATATATCTGACAGAGAATGTAGGAAGTCACATAAAGAGGACAAAGTGTACATCCTCAATTGTTTTGGTGCGCGTCTGATTAGTCCCTCCCACCCGAGATTGTTTTTGGCGTGGTTACGGCCGAC